GTCTCAGCAAATATTCTCGTAAACACAGACGGTTATGTCTTACGTGAGCGTAAACAATGGAGAAAGAAATCGCATGTGTATAGAAATGAAATCCGTGCAATCGTTCTTAAAGGGACAGAAGCCTATAAAAACCTGCTGCTGTCTGTGTCACTAATGTTAATCAAACAACAAAACACAACTTTCAATAAAGATTACCCTTTATCTAATTTATACAGTGATCAAATGTCTGTACCTGAAAAAAAATTTTTTTTCTATGCTTGAAATTTGTTTGTTTGTTCTTCTTTGTATTTTATTACTGACAGTTCACTTGTCTTTAAAAATGTTAGACTTTTATTAGTTATGATACTAGTTTTTGCTGTGGTATCGAAGAAGTACTTAAAGTGTTCTTTAGATAATAAGTGTTCTTTAAATAATAAAGAAACAGTTTTTGCTCATCCAAAAAAATGACCCAATCTGTTACTCAAAATCCATAATACGATCTGAAACATGAGTTGTGTCATCCGTTGCAGCCCTACTCCCTTGACTTGTTATTTGAAGGAAAAATACAATCACCCAAGTTTTTGTTCATGCTGATTTGTCCGGACGGAAGTTCAGCTGTCTCTTTTATTCGGGCTAGTTAAATTTATTCTGGGCTACCATAATCTTAAGAATGCCTGCCTGAAGGTCTACCAGGGATTTAGAAATTTTGTGAGCCCTGCATCAGGATTTTGTTGGGGTTTAATTCACTCCTAATCAGGGTTATTAATAACCTCCTCCCGGACTAAAACAGAAGCGACATCCACTTCCCAAACTCTGCCATCAAACCACATCCACACCTGAGTGACAAACCCCATTACCGCCAATGGAGATGAATCACTGTGGGTCAAAAAACAAAAATGCTAATAAAAACTACAAGCAAAAAATGTAAGGCTTAAACTAGTCAAATCTCACGGAAATGGAAATGACTATGGCAGAATTTTTGACATTTTGGAACTGAAATGCAGAGGCTTTTTGTCTTCTTTTGCAGTTTTCACTACTGTGTGTGTGTGCACTTGGATGGGTTAAAATCAGAATATGGGTCACATGCCACTTTAATTTGCTTTAATTGATAGAAAACCCACATGACATGACCCCTGACATCTTATCAGGGAAAAAGATTCTCAGGTCTCAGGTTTAAACTCCATTGTAAGTCAGTGATATTAGTAATAGTTTAAAGTATCAGTAATAGTTTACTGGGACACAGTGGTCTTTCAGTAAATGCCCCTAGTGGTAAAAGGTGAATCCCTTTATAAGTCATTCATTAAACGATTCATTATAATTGACAGTTTATAAACTTTATTTCTAAAGTTTTTATATATGGATTATTTGTACACAAACACATCACTTCGCTTCAGAAGGCCTTTGAGCACTTTTTATGATGGATGCACTTTATTTTGTTTCAAAATCTCAACAGCCATTCACTTCCATTATAAAGCTCGGAAGAGCCAGGACATTTTTAAATATAACTCTGATTGTATTCGTCTGAAAGAAGAAAGTCATATACGTGATTACATAATGTGTGAATTTGCAGATGCGCATCGCGGACCTAGTGCAAGATGTGCATTTGTGGTTAAAAAGTATATACATTTTATTTCTTTTTTTGAAAATGACCGATGGTTTCGCTAGATAAGACCCTCATTCCTTGGCTGGGATCGTGTAGAGCTCTTTGAAGCGGCACTGAAACTGCATTTTGGACCTTCAGCCCGAAGTCCATTATATGGAGAATAATTCTGGAATGTTTTCCTCAAAAACCTTAATTTCTTTGCGACTGAACACAGACAGACATGAACATCTTGGATGACATGGGGGTGAGCAAATTATGAGGAAATTTATCAGAAAATAAAATGATCAGAAATGTTGTTGTGCACAGCAGAGCATTTCAGAGTCTGCTTTTTGCATTAAAAATAAGCTAAATGCTTAATTCTTGATAAACGTTCTGCAACCTGTATTACTGTTACTTTATTAATGATAATGGTACTAAATTAACTTTATTATGTTTTAGTGTGTTCACTTTTTTTAAAACAAAGTAGTGTAAATTATATTGCCGCATCATATCAGTTAGAATTTTAATATTGTTGCATCCCTGATTATAAAATAAGTGTAAAAACACTACTGTACGCTGTAAGAAAGAAAAAAAAAACAGAAAAATGGAAAATGTACTGGTCATTTTCTGCCAGGATATTATCTGTTAAGTTTATAGACATTTAATTTAACCATAAAACACAAAACAATGCTATGTGTAATTCAAAAATTGGGGAAAATGCATTATTCAAATCACTATGAAAAAATTCTTCATATTAATATTACATTGCATTCTGTTTTTATATACTTTTCTTAGGAGTTTAAAATGTGAAAGAATGAACGCAGTCTAATCAACTAATATTCTCTTGTTAAATGTGGCTTAACCAACTAGCTAAATAACTATGAAGAAAAAAAAAGCTACTTGGTAATTTCTCAATGACTCATTAAAGTGTAGGGAACAAATGTGTGCTTGCTTAGCTTCAATATCAAGTGCAAGGTAACAAGTGGAAACTCTAGTGTAACAAGACAAATAGAGAGGTATAAAAAAAGCAAGAACTCTGGGATGAAGGACTGTTCACCAACCCTTGTATCGACTCTCTGAACACTGCAAAACAAACCCGAGCCAAAACAACAACAACATGTCTTTTGTCGTGTCTTCAGTCTGTCACGCTGGTGTCTCTCCCCGGTTGCCACAGTGACTCGTAGGGTCTTGTCGGGTCCCCTCTCTTCAGAGCAAGATCCGTAACCTTGTCTCGTATTTCCCTCCGACTGAATCCCCCATGTTTCCCCCACTTCTGACAAGCATTTATGACCTTGTAACCCATCTCTCTTGCTGGGGAGACCCCATCCCTCTTCTCTTCTCCATCCATAAGTTATTCCCCTCGCTTTCACCAGCATCTTCCCTAAACAACCTGACACGCGGTAGTCACTGTGGCGTAGAGGAGAGGTAACCATGCCAACGATCCCATCTAAGAGCATGCTGAAGGTTAAGGGTAGGAACAAAGCTTCAGACGTGCACTTCAGATTATCCCACTTTATTTACCCAATGCCAATTCTACACTTCTGGGGGCCCTACACAAAACTGGGTGGGGGAGTTATGAAAGTTATGAAGTTAATGAAACACATTTGTCCGGGTTAATTCAGTCTTGAATCGCGCTCACGGAAAGCGCTTGAGAAACAGTGTCTCTTCCGCGGCTCGGTACGCTTTCGACTCATTTATTTTATTTTTTTGTCTCAAGCAAGAGACTCTATGACATTCACGTTACATGATTAGACAGATTTGTACATTGAAAGGGCGACAGAGCATCACATTAAAAGAAATTAACATTCATGTTTTCATAACCGCTGGCCAAATTCAAAAACGAAACTAAAATTAAATCATCTTTGAGAGCAAGGGGCCCCCCTGGTGTTTCGAGGGCCCTACGTAGCTTGCGTACTTTGCGTAGAGGGAGGATTGGCTCTGCATTTACCTTCTACTATTTATTTAAATTTTCTGTTCATGAAGATACATTGGAATTGATTAAATTCAGAACAAAATTTTTAAATGAAAAACACTTAACTTTACTTTGACAGCAACAATCTTATGAATCATTTTGCATTCATCACTATTCTTTCATATAATATACAGTATGTGTGAACCTTTTTATATCCATGTACACATCTCATTTTCTGTAAAATTATATATTGTATATGAAATATGAAATTACATATAAAGTCATAACACAAAGCTAAAAGTAAAGCTAAAGCTAAAAGTAAGAACTACTGATCAAAAGGTTTGAGTTAGTAAGCTTTTTTTTTTTAATTTTGGAAGACACTTATGCACAATTATTTGATCAAAAGTAAACAGTAAAATTGTAATATTGTGGAATATAATTACAACTTAAAATAACCATTTTCTATTTGAATATGTTAAATGTTATTTATTCCTGTGATCAAAGTGGAATGTTTTGAGCATCACTACTCCAGTCTTCAGTGTCACATGATCTTTCAGAAATTAGTGCTGATTTGGTGCTCAAGAAACATTTCTTATCATCATCAATGCTGAAAACAGTTGTGATATTTAGTATTTTTGTGGAGACTTATGCATTTTTCACATATTTTTGTACTTTTGTCATTTATTCAGCATGAAATTGCATTCAATTGACAAAAAAAAAAAGTACTGATTGTGTAGCCTCACACACACGATGATTGGTCCCTAAAATCGGTCCCATTCTGCAGTTTATATATCACATACTGTATGCTCTGAATTGCTGTCATTTTTCCATATTGTGCTTACAGTGTGAACAGTCCAATTAGAAACTTGGAAACCATGTTTTGTGTAACTCTCATTTTGTGCAGTTTTGTGATTACATTTGTTGCTTGCTGAGAAATTTGCACTTTTTTCATTTCTTTTTCTATTTTTCGTTTCCCTTCATTCTCTGTACAAACAATCAGTACAATCAGTACAAACAAAGTCTAAATGAGATAAGATTATCTTCTGCTATATAACTAGCTAGCTATTTTAACCTATATATAAGAATAATACATATGATGTTGTTGCTTTAATGAAAAGAAACTTGCTTTATTTTCTTGTAATTGAAAATCCCTCACAGTGTGACATTTCTGTACTCTTGATATGCTCTTGTTAGCTTGCTTACAATCAAGCTAGCATTTTGAACAGCTTGTATTTAAACAGTTTCTTTGAGTACATTCAGATTATTTTCTTTGAATGATAAGTACAAAGAAAGATGATAAAGTTATAGGTTGACCTGCCAAGCTAAAAGAAATGCCTCAACTGCTTGTTTACAGCTCTCAGATATGATGGATTTATATATTTCACTGCCACTTTTATGAAAAATTGATTAGTAGTGCTTTTTCGTTTTTCCCTATATCTCCTGGATCCTCTTCCTTCGCTTTATCCCTGAGTGTATTGCTTATTTCTCCACTCCTTTTCTGTGGTTCTGTTGCTTTCTCTCTTTCAGCAGGGGGCTGACACACAGAGGAGGGGGCACAAAACCAGCCAGGCAGAACCGACAGAGCGAGAGATGGAGGGAAAGAGAGAGAGAGAGAGAGAGAGAGAGAGAGAGAGAGAGAGGGAGAGAGCTGGGGCCTCTGATTTTGTGACAGCCAGCAAAGGGAAAGTGTTCCCCAGGGAAAGGGAGAACGAGGGAAAAGAGGGAGAGAAAGAGAAAGAGAGAGGGAGATAAGGGGAAAACTACACTGAAGCAATGGAGGAGAAAAACTGTCACAAATCGACACTTCCACCTAGCCAATTGGACCTTGTAGGCTCCTACACAGTATAGGATGTACAATCCACTTGCAATTGGAAGAGTTTGTGCAATTCTACATGCATATCTAACACTTCTATTGTCTTTCCTTGAATTTCAGGAGGAGATTTCTCTGGCAGTCCTTATTCCCATCCGCAGTATTCAACATACAACGAGCCTTGGAGATTTGCAAACCCCAGTCTACTAGGTAAAAGCTTAAGCACAAACATATGGACAGTGATGCAGAACATTTGCTCTCTTAATGCTTTTAAAGGGGTCATATGATGCTGCTAAAAAGAACATTATTTTGTGTATTTGGTGTAATGAAATGTGTTTATGCGGTTTAAGGTTCAAAAACACATTTTGTTTCCACATAATGTACATTATTTGTTATTATTATTCCACATACGGTAAATTATTTAGTTTCTCCTCTATGCCCCGCCTTTCTGAAATGTGTAAATTTTTACAAAGCTCATCGGTCTGAAAAGCGAGGTGTGATCTGATTGGCCAGCTATCCAGTGCATTGTGATTGGCCGAATACCTCAAGCGTGTGACGGAAATGTTACGCCCCTCACCATATTGTGATGCTGTGTCCCGGACAAAAACATTAAAACTTAAACTAAAAATTCAACTTTATAGAAACAGACACCGGCATTGTAGGCTACTCTCCCAGGAAACAGTCCTCATCCTCCATAAAATGCGCTGCACACATCTGAATATTTGAGTTTAACTGTTCTGGAACAGTGTTGTAAATACAACTTAACCACTGATTTCTAGTCGTGTCCTCTTTTGGAAGGCCAAACAAAGTAGTTTCGTTTTCACAACGAAACACACAGCGTCTTCACGACATGGCGGCGGCAACAACAATACTACAGCGAGAATAAAAGTTAAGCCTTCTTTCGTTGTGTGAACATTTGGGCGGCGTTATGCAAATCTTCCCCCATAGTGAGGTAGACATGTGGGGGCGTGTTAGAACGAGCCGTTTTAGGTAGGCGTGGCTGACTCTTAACTTTTATAAAGAATATCTCTTTGGATTTGAGACTTTAGTCTTTGCAACTTTACAGATCTTCTTTATGCACCAAGAGCTTGTAATACTCCAAAGAGAAAGGAAAAATTGAAATTGCATCATATGACCCCTTTAAATTTACAATAATGTATTTATAATAATGTCCTTTAAAAAGAATAATTCAACCAAAATGAAAATTGTCATTATTTAAAATTTCAGCATCAGAATAAAAAATAAAACGCGAATTGTTTGATAAATGCTTTATCTCCCGATTACAACGTTACATCTCTTCATACGTTAGATATGTTTGTGGTCAGAAATTTTTTACAGTAATTGTTTAACATTTTCTAAACAGTAAAGTCTTTTTTTTTCTTCTTTTCTTTTTTAAAGAAACAAATTATTCAGCAAGGATGCATTATATTGATCAAAAGTGACACTAAAAACATTTATAATGTTACTTTTTTAAATAAATACTGTTCCTTTAAACTTTTTATTTAACAAAGAATCCTGAAAAACTGTATCCAAATTTCCAAAAAATATTAAAGCAGCACAACTGTTTTCAACATTGGTAATAATAAGAAGTATCTTCTTATTGAGCATCAGCATATTAGAATGATTTCTGAAGGATCATGTGACACTGAAGACTGAAGAAATTATGCAGAAAATTTTGATTTGCATCACAGAAATAAATGACATTTTAAACAAATATTCTAATAAAATATAATAGTTCACAATATTAATGTTTTTATTGTTTTTAATGAAGTAAAAGCACTTTTCACTCATACATCTTCCAAATGTGTTTTTTTCTGAGTGATGCCACAGAATAACCATTTTGGGTTCCCCAAAGAACCTTGCATGTTTTTCTTAGTGTGAAGAACATTTTAATAAATCGAAAGAACATTTTATATAATGGAAAGTTTCCATGGATGTTAAAATTTCTTCATGGAACCATCAATGCCAATAAAGAACCTTTATTTTTAAGAGTGTTAGGCTTCTTTCAAAAACATGGAAAAGGTGGATTGGATGTACATGTGGGGAACATAATAGAATTTTCAATTTCTGTGTTAACTACTCCTTTAAGTGTAAAATAAAATGCATTGGTTCAGAGTGCTAGGTTCAATTTATAGTCTCATTTCTAAAAGACCATCATTTGCTGTGAACTATAAACTTACTGATGTTAAGTTGTTGTATGTGTGTGTGCACTTTGCTCTTGTCAGTGTTCCAGCAGGAGTACAGTTCTTTACTGGGCTCAGAGAGAGCAGCTTCATCGGGTCTATTCCCTGGCCAAACCCCACAACCTACAGGTACAGAACACCCATGCCATTAGAGAAACGTTGACATTTGAAACATTGTCGGGTTAGCTTGCCATATGTGTATGTATGCATGGTGCACAGAATGAGCTGTTCAGAAGAACCTGCCCCGTTCCGCAAACCTCAGACTGACACATCAGTCCAGAGCAAGGTGAAGGGGCAGTGGCTTAAAAACAGTTATGTGTGTGTAAGTTAGAGCCACAAAGCTGACCTTAATATTCCCAATGGAGAAGGGATTCCTTGGAGATTTCATGAGCTTTTTGCTTTGTGTGTCAAGAAAGAGACCCTGATTTGACAGAAGTTTGACAGTGTTTGTGTGAAGCGCTCGAAGGCAAAGTGTCTATTAGGGCTACATAGCCCAGTATATGCTTTGAAATGGATTAAAACATTCTCAAATGCAATTTTCACTGTAGCCAAATATGAGTCATAGTAGTAATTCATTTTTACCTACATACAATTAATTGCTGATTCAGAGTGTTAACCTGATTTAGTTAATCAGAACTGATTCACAAAAAATGTAAGATCAAATCATAAATGCTTTTGAAATTTTGAGACAAGGATGGATTGAGAAACTAGTCTACGTAAGCTCACTGGGCACATAAAAAGCTAATAAATCTTTGCAATATTCACAATATTGCTTAATTTTACGTTACCAGCAAAATAATTGTGAATATACATTATGTTGTGTTCTAGTCATTTTGACCCGGAGATGATTTTCTTTTTCCTGAAAATGCTAGTTAATGTTTTCACATTGGGCTAAAAACCACAGGGTAAAAAAAAAAAGATGATTTTTATACTTTCTTGGGATTTTTCCCCCAAGTTTGTCACACTTATCACAAAAATCACCGGCCAACAAAAAATTGCTTTAAAATTTTCATTATGCAATATTATTACCAAATATTGGACTCAATCTTTTTGTTAAATTGTTTTCTTTCAATTAGCACAGGTTTTGTTTTTCTGGAACTGACTGGCCTCATTGATTTGAGCTTATGCTCATCGGTTTTTAAGTGAACACTGACAAAACTATAAACAAATAAAGATTTTTCACTCAAAATCAGTGACATCTTGATATACTTCACACTCTCAAACTCTGTTTTTACAGCAACACAAAAGCTACTTTATCACACTCATATAATCTTCATTTCCAGTGAAGACAAACACACACATCCACCACATTTCTCACAATTTCAAACTCTTTACCTCCAGCAACAAAGACTAAGCAGCACAGCTGTCCATCCACTTCATTATAGCCCTCGCTCATGCCCGCTGTCTCGGTGTAATAAAGAAAAATATTTCTTGCTAAAACTAACGATGATACTAAAGACATTTCCTCTTTGAGGGGTCCATCAGCACTTAATGCCAACACAGACTGATCAAGATGGATCATGTGTCTTATAGAGCAGAAATGGTCTTTTCCCAGCAGAAACTGAGCTGATGATGGTGGTGTCATTTCAAATAAGAGGAAGGGTGACATGATTGTCCAGATACATCAAAACTCTGGGCTGTACATCCACCATTCTGTAATCAGACTTATTCTCAGTAATGAATTCATTGCTTCTTGTTTAGTATTTATCTTAATGTGATTTGAGAGCAACAGGAGTTCAAAGGGTAGTTATAAAATAAATATTGAGCCACAAATATGTTGAAATGTAAAAAAAAAAAAAAAAAAAAAAAAAAAAAAAAAAATAAATAAAAAAAATATATATATATATATATATATATTATAATAATGCATGTATGCATTATTAAAAGTGACATCAAAAAGACATTCAAAATGTTACAAAAGATTTCTATTTCAAATAAGTGCTGTTTTTGTTTACTTGCATTCATCAAAGAATCTTAAAATGTATCCGTTTCCACAAAAATAAGCAGCAAACGATAATAATAATAAATGTTTTTGAGCATCAAATCATTTGAATGATTTCTGAAGGATCATGTGACTCTGAATATACTCGCTGCTGCCATCACAAGAATAAATTACATTTTAAAATATATTAAAATAGAAAATAGTTATTTTAAATAATAATAATAATAATTCACAATATTACAGGTTTTATTGTATTTATCAAATAAATGCAGCCTTGGTGAGCAGAAGAGACTTCTTTTAAAAACATTTTTCTTCTATTTTAAAATGAATCGGTGGTCAGTGTTGCCAAGTCCGTGGTTTTCCCGCAGATTTGGGCTACTTTAACACTGTTGCCGCAGGTTGTTTTTCATGTCCCCCCCCCCCAAAACGCAATTGGGCTAGTTTTGAGTAGCGATTGGGCGGGTTTTGTTGTGAAAACCTGGCAACCCTGTCTGTGGTACATGAGTAATTTAAACGGACTTTCAAAACCTGGATTAATTTACATTAGTGGACGATAACAAATTTAGAGGGCCACTCAGGGGGCCTAGCTTGCTGACACGTGGGCCCCGGACCTTGTCCCCTGTTAGAACCCCTCCCGTTTGAGCTATTTAAGTGATAATCTGAAGACTGACAGATTTGTTTTTTGACATCCCATGTAGGATCTCCATACTACTATAGCGCAGCCACACGGGGAGCAGGAACGGCTGCCACAGCGACTGCCACCGCCTATGACCGCCACTGACCAGCCCGACAGAGGAGAGGAGGAACGAAAAGAAAGAGGAGTGAGAATGAATTGATAGCACCCACACAAGACTGCCTACATAAGAAAGAAAAGAAGTGTAGGAGGAGCAGGAAGGAGAAAGAAGAAAGAAAGAAGAGGTGACAATGTTTTCCTGCCAATTACAATCAATGGTCCAATCAGTAGCTTCAGCCTAAGTGTCTAATTTCTGTTCATTAGTGGAAAGTACACACCCATTCACCTGCATTCCTGTGGTCTCAGCTCACACTAAATCTGTTACTGCTTTGATTTATCTTCTGTCATTAAAGCCTTGCTTATCCTATCGTCTTTGCATCTCTATGCAGTCTGTTCTTGGAGATGATCAGGTGTTAGAAGTTGGTACCAGACAATCTACTAGTGGCAGCTTGAGATGCTTTGAATTCATTTTTGAGTCATTTTATTAACTGTGTGAATGTGGCATCATAGTCTGTGGCAGACTAAAACCATGAATTGTTTTGGAGAGAACCTAACGTATCAAGTGAACGGAGATTTAATAGAGTCGGACAGATAACTCAGGTCGGAATATTGGCATTATTTACATTCAAATTAGCCAGCGTGAAGGACAGACCCATTTTGCTATCGATCATGGGACGCTTCCACTTGAAAATGTAGCGTAATTACGGTAGAGATTTTACTGGAAGATGCCGAAATCTGCCCTGATGAGAAGCACAAGAATATTTGAGCCCTCAGTTCTAATCTAGGAGCCATTTAGACGTAACAGACTCCTTATAAACCGAATTACATGCAAGTTTAGCATTAGCTGCGAAGCGACAGCTAAACAACGGGACTGTTGTGCGATTCAGTCATTGTGTAATATGTTGGAAAATAGCAGCATGATTTAAATATTTAAGCACTGTCGTCATGAATGAGAGCATCAGTATTTTAAAGACTCCTCTCCTTCCTCTATGTAGATAAATATTATTTACGTATGTACAGAATACCCTTATTCAACTGTACATTAGTAAGATTTATAGCTATTTATGATGGAGAGTAATATATATAATTGTGTGTAAAAGTTTACTGCGGACAAATGCTACTGCTAGCTAAAGATGTTGCCGTGGAATACCTAGCCGGTTCTCTTTTTAAACCCCTGATGTTTCATTCCAAACACAAATCAGTTGCAATCAAAAGAGATTGCTGACATTGAAGCACCGACAAACTTTTGTAAAGTCGCTCCATTTTAGAAATGGCTAGAAAAGCTAATTCTTCCCTTACAGGAAGTGATGTCATACTGTCTGTCCCTTCAAATGGTCTCCTTAGCCTCCCCAAAGATGCTCTTCAGTAGTGCAAATAGATGCTCTTAAAAGCACAGTGACAAATCTGTTATCCAGAAATGGCTTTTTTATTTTTTGTTCACACTCGTTCTCTCGGAGCGCATTTGTTTTTATTCCCTTCATCCATCAAAACAATGCATGAGACCAAGGTGGAGGCCTTACCAAACTCTCTATGTAGCAACATCATGCTGTACATCATTCCTGTTTGTCTGTCTGAGATATCCTGTAGATCTATCACTTACAATGACAAGAGCTTTTGATATCATTATTGACCGATATATTGCTATCTAAATTTAGATTCTAGTAGACGAGAAAAGACAAAAAGTGTGCTTTATTTAGCTATTGTCTGTGATGAGTGTTCCCAGTTTTTGATTTTCTTGCTTTTTATTTCGATACACTGTGCATTGCTGAGTAGCTTTCGAAAAAAGGAGAACACTGTAGTTTTAGTAGTGAGTCACAAGCACCAAAACTTTGATGTGAAATAAGAAAAAAAATGACAAACCTATGAATATATATATATATATATAGAAGTTGATAGTTTTTATGTTTTTATGGTGTTGCTCTGGACTGTAAAGTAGTAATAGGATTACATTTGTTTGTGGATCATAAGTTGCACGTTATGCAACTCTAAAGAAACCCTTGATGCCGTTCACCACTAATGACTACTGGTGAACTTTGACCTTTTAAACTTTTAGTCAGAGGCATTATGAACCTGAAGTACACCAGCTGAAATCAAGGACAGTGCCTTTATTTTTCTACCGAGTCATCCAGAATGACCATGCGTCACTAAATTGCAAAATTGTCTGCATTTCATAATGAGATCACAGCTTGACCGACCAATCAACGAGCCGATGCCACTACCCATCATTTTAACAGCATTTTTACATGCTTTTTACAATCTTATTAAAACTCAGCAAGTAAACTACAAGCGAAATATGAAATCAATTTAACATCAAATATAAAACACTGACCTACTATATACACAATATTGAAATAGAAGATTATGCTATAAACTGATTTAATATGATTCAATAAAAGATTTAGTCGACTAATTGCTAATTTATTAGCAAAATTCACATATTCTGAGACCCAACATTTTTTTTTTCCCTCCAATGATATGACGCGGTACTGTAATCTCCTGAGGGTAGCATTAATTCCATTCTCTTAAAGGAAATGTTCACCCAAATATGAAATTTTACTCATCCTTTACTCGCCCTCATGTTGTTTCAAATAATTTCATTGGACCACTCTGACTTTCATTGTACATAGACAATAAAAAAGGTACAATCAATTTTTCAAAATGTCCTCTTTTGTTCCACAGAAGAAAGAAATGTATACAGGTTTGAAATGACATGAAGGTGATTTTGGGTGAACTATCCCTTTAAGTACTGAGAATGAATATTAGATTAACTGTGAAGGGATTGACTTCCCAGAGAGACACAAATGAACCACACACTCGCAGTCCTTTTGTCCTTCGTCAGGTCGCGAATATGCCACACCTTTTCATTGACATGATCAAAACCTGCTGCACCAGCAAAATCGAACACCCCTTTCTCTTTTCCCATCCCCTCTTATTTCAATTTCTCATTTCCACCCCCACCACCATTGAACTCTATTTGCCTCACTGGTGCACCTTTAATCTCATCAGATCTTCCTAACCCCTTCCTCCAATGCCATCCGGATTAGAAATTCTACAAGTTGGCCGTTGATCACCTTTGTGAAAATCCTTTATTTTCTTTGAGAAGGTTGTGCAATTAAAAATGCATTTTATTTCATGTTTAATTGCACATTTTAAGTTATAAACAGCTTGCATAAAACAAGTTCAGACAAGTTTAATTAATTAGTCCTATTTTTTCTCATTCACTCTCATTCACAAAATAAATACCTGGCTTCCAATAATAGTTTAAAACAAAGTAGTTTACGCTCTAAATATGGTTTAGTAATGATTCCATATTTAAAATATTTCCAAAGTAAAGGCTGTGCATCATAAATGAAACACATTCATCCACTGAACAACCCTCAGTTAGTTGTTAGCGTCCCACTGTTTTCCTCACTTCAAATCAAAATATCAGAATATGTGAGTAAAATGCTATTTGACTTCATTTTCCAAATAAGCAAAATTTGGTTTACCATTCTAAAACGGGAATATTCGGTAATGTATTGATTCTAAAAATGGTACGTCCACATCAACATTACAGGTTTCCCAACGAGAAAAGCAGACTTAAAAAAAAAACAGAGGACTTGGTTATCACCTTATTGTGGCCTTCTGTGTACAATCGGAAGCTCCTTCTGTAGTTTCTTTCCCAAGGGGTTCATAAGTATCTTTTTACTCCGTTTTTGAAGTAAAGATTGAAGATTTTAAGAACGTTTGAAACATTTTGACGAATTTGAGAACAGCAATCAGTTCAATTCAAAGAAAAAAAAAGAAAGAAAAACAAATCAGGCCAATAACACATCTGTAGCATCCACCTAAAGTTAGAGATGCCCGGTTTGAAAGTATTCTGTGGTGATCATTGCAAAAATACTCAAATTATGAAATAACCAACATGACAGAAAGATGAAGGCAATAGATATTTGCAACGAGTAAATGAATGAACTGCTTCTTTAAGAAATGTGTATGTTTTTTATTGAATTTTCTAGTAGTAAAAAAATCTTGGTGTTTTTCTCTGCGTGTCGTGTGTTGTCTTAATATTTGAATGTATTTACTGCGGAACAAACTTTGCCAAAGATATCATGCCGCTTGATTTAAAATCTGTTTGGTTCTACATGACTTATTTCTTCATTTGATTAAAATCTGTCCACAAGCTGGAAATAAGTGTGATTTGATTTTGATTTTCTAATGGAATTATATTGTTATTGTTATATTATTATTGTTATCATTTCTTTTTATTATGCTGATGATTTTTGTTTGTTTGTTTTACTGTTGTTCAGGGTTATTCAATTTTCTGGCATTCCTCCTAATTCCTGATACAGGGTCATAGGCTACTCTGTGTATGTGCATATGAGTGAATGTTGTTTGTGAATTATCAATTTACGTATGTTGTAACGTGAAACTAAGAAGTAATTATTTGTAAATATTGGCCATAATTTTATTGGTTCATCAGAATAAAAGTAATTTTTTAAGTTCACACGTTGTATTAGTATTGATCAAAAAAGCTTGACTTTCATCACAGTGGTCTTATCCTAATTTATATTGTCATTTAACACATAGAGGGAATATTATATATATATAAGGTTTAGGTATGTGGTAGGATCAGGGTCGTCCTTAGGGGGGGGAGGGGGGGGGTGCAACTGTTGCAGCAGCACCGGGCCCCGCGGCGAACGGACCGAGGGGGAACAAGCAGAAGTTTTTATTCTGGAAGTGAACTAATCCTTTAACATGGGGTGATAATGGACCACAAGCTGCAATACAACAGCAGTACCCCCCCACACACACGAAAAACAGCTTCAGCCCAGCTGGATACACACTCAGCTCCAGCTGGGATTTGGTCACGTGCCAGTTTACCATGTCGCGCACACACATTCAGTAACGGTCTTGGGTCACTGCCCGAATACCTAGTTTGCCAGGTTGGCACTTGTGATATTTTGGATCTTGGGTGCATTCCCAGATTAGGAGAACAGTGGCAAACTGTGATTTCTGCAGTGCTTGAGTTTCAGCCAGATAACATGATGAATGAGCACTTCAAAGCAGAGGAGTTCCTCAGGTGTGTACATTTGTGACTTTGGATACAGTGGATCATTCTCTCCTAGCAGCACTTTCAAAAGCTCATTATCATCTGGAAATTACTTGCCTAAATATGCAGTTGTGTCCCACAAAACCTTATACATAACTCCCAATTTTTTTCTCCAAACCGAGCCAACAAATCTTTTATGATTTCTTACAGATATTCACTCAGGGATTACTTAAAATATAATGGGCAATTACCAAAGCAATGTAGTAAAGCAATGTGTTGTGAATGCTGTTCTCCAGTCCCCATCAGGCTGAATAAAT